CTTCAACCTTTTCGAATTTTATGAATGATTATTTTAGGTTCAAGTGTGTGTAAGGATTTGGAAACGAGCAGAGTACAGCTGTTTCTGAAGCATGCAGCGCCATCTGCTGTTCAAAACTAAGCTCAGAATCGACTCGAGAAAGAATCGCCATGCATTCGGAAAATCTCAGAATCGATGCTGAATCATTTCTCGATTTGCGATGCATCTAATTATTTTCCAAGCCCTAGTCGACTAGTAGTCCTTTATTTTAAGCATTAGTCGACTAATCACACATTTATTAATAAACCATTTAAATCTTAATAATGAGCCTTTAACTGCCTACATAATAAGCGCTCCAGTGCATACATAAAGCTTGCCACAGCGCACCAGCAAAAGTAATGATTATGAATTTGTCAGGGTAAAACAGTAAGGAGGCTGCATTAACATTTTAATGATTCATTGATAAACCAGTGCTGTCTTTGTTTTCATATTAAGAGATGAAGTCGGCGACACTGGCTCGTCATCTCCACAGGATGCGCCTGTATGCATGTTTCATACGGATTACATGATCTGAGAATATTTGGTTCATCTAGGTTCATTTGAAAGTAGACATTTCGCTCTCAATAGATATGTTTTTATGTCTGTAAGGCAAGTATACACAGAGTTTTGGAGTTTTGCGTTCAAGTTCACAGAGACCGAGACGGCAGAAAGCGCATCCTGTTTGCTTTCATTATTTTACAAAAGCGCAATGTTTTGTTGTTATTGTGAATGCACACAAATAAACATAGAGTCTTTACAGATTTGAAAGATGTATTACTCTTATTATTATTACTGTTCAGCTTCCACTCCACACAGACACTTAAACAGCGCATATTTCTCTAGGTTAACATTAGATTGAACGGACATGTAAAGTTGCTACTACTAACATATTTCAGATGATAAGCCATATTTGAGGATGATGAATGATAGGCGAGCGTTTGGATGTCCTAATAAAATTACAATTTTGGTCGACCAAGCCTCTTCTCGTTGACTAACAGTTAGTCGACTATTAGGGGCAAAATAATATTTTGAATATTCGTTCTGCCTTGTTTACATTTACCTTTCAGAGAAAAAGATTATGGAAACTTACTTCGGGATGCATGATATTATCAGAACGTCATCGGAATCGGCTGATAAAGGCTTAAAATATAAACATCGGACAATATGAAAAATTATGCCGTTATGCCTTGCCGATAAGACCTACTTGTAATAAAATTAAAAGTAAAATAAATAACATTAAGATACTTGCATTTCTGTATAAATAAAGCCATAACTCATGTCATAAAACCATGCGCGTGTTTTAATTTAAAGGTCAGAAGCTATAGCTTACATGAACAAAAAAAAAATCACAAACATGACACTTACATTAAATAATTTTATATATACTGATTTATTCATTAATATGTAATATGTTATATTTTTAAAACAAATTATGAGCTCTAAAAAAATTTCAGACTTTTTACAACTCTTTTGCTTTAGACCATTTACAAATGTTAAATCATAAAATAAAATGTCAAGGTTACCACTGCATATTTCTGATAAAAAAATGCAGTGATTAATATATAGATTATTTATAGTTATTTTCAAATCTTCAATGTACTGTCATTATAAAATAACTTTATTATTTTTGATTTAATTCTAACAAATAAGTTCTTGTTAAAAACTAACCAAAATTAAAAATTATTATATATCGGTATCGGCATCGGCTATCAGGCAAAATGAGTTGAAAATTATCGGCATATCGGATATCGGCAAAAATCCAATATCATGCATCCCTACTTCACGTACAAAATGGTTAAACATGTCTTTCTCAGGAAAATCCCTGGCTCCTGTCAATGGAAGTCCACAATGGCATCTTCCTCAAGTATTATTGGGGTCCAGGCCACATAGGAGCAGTAGGTAAACAAGGAATGCTGTTCCAGAGTGACTACAAAGCCAGGTCCAAGAGCGCACATTTGTTTTGGCCAGCATGGGGCTTTCCCATGACGACAAAGTAAATATTACCCTTTGACAGAGAGCAAAGCCATGCATATAAAACAAAACTTGTTCTTTTCTTTTGCCTCATTTGGGACAATGTATACAGGGCGGAACAGAGACGACAACTACACAAATGAACAATTTAACTTTTCAGAACATCCTCAAACAGTCTCAGAGATGTTAAATGACATCCAGTGCCCAAACCTGAACCTGCTAAATCTTGAGAAGAAAAAAAACTTTGACTGTGTATTTACATTTTCTTACAAATATTTAGTGAATTTCAAAAGTCTTTATCCACTAGTGAAAAAGCTCCAGTTTAATAAATAGTTTAAATTATTAATAAAGTATTTTTAAAACAATTAATACATTTATTATTGGTAATAAATTATTTTATAAGCACAGCAGCATGAGCTAAAAAATTTATCCAGCATGAATTGAAAGTTAACATGATCATTGTCACAAATGTGCTCATTTGATTAGAAATCAATTAGAAAAAGTGCAGAATATTTCTTGAATTCAATTTTCAAAAACTTAACATTTCTCATTTTCAGGTTTAAATGTGCTCTTAGACTTTTGGACTCCACTGCATCAGCTATCACAGCATAAATGCTCTGTTTGTCGGCAGATGTTCTCTGCACAGACTTGTAACTGTACCACTCTCATCTCTCTCTCTGAACACATCTGAAGTTGACCTACCTCTCCCTGATCGTGGAGTACAGACCCTGCCAGTTGCAGCATTGAATGGTGTTGTTGTTGTTCAAGTTCTGCTGCTGGTACTGCTGCACCGTGGTGGCCGATGCCGGCTTCTTAGTGGGGAAGATCTCCGCTGCCATCTTCTTCTTCTTCTTGGTTTTCAAGGTGATGATCTCATAGCACACAGGGGGCAGCTTGGACGAGCTGCTGGGACTCCCCTTTTTGGAGCCTTTACTGGACTTGCTCTTAACTGACTCTGGAAGCATCAACAAGAACGTCAGACATTTCATGTTCCTTCCCTTGGCATCCACCATGAGTGTGTTCACCTGCAGAGCAGTGGAAAAGCATGCAGAGAAGATGTTGGGAAGGAAAGGAAGGATCTGAGAAAGGTGACGACTTGCGCAGAGGGTGAAGAGCCCCCCAAAACACAGCAATTAACTGAAACACAGAAGAAAAAAAGCGAAGAAAGAAGAAAAAAATCCACTCCTAATCTTCACCTTCTGAAAGCACCTTCTGAAAACTGTCAGGGAATATAAGCTCCTTCTTCCACCAGAAGATTAAAGTCAATACGGCGACTGACTTTTCTGTCCTTTGCTTCTAGTTTGATCTGCTGGTGGAAAGCAGAGATGAGTCTCCATAACTGTGCTGCTAGATAAACGTCCTTCTTTAAATGTCTTCTCTCTCCCCTTCAGTATCTGTGACAGTCCCAGATTTAATGCTCCTGCAGTGGTTCAGAAGCAGCTAGTCCACGCTGTCTCTCTTTCTCTCTCTCTCTCCTCCTGACACTCTGACACACACACACACAAACACGGAGCTCTGCAGGATTTGCTTGCCATGGACCTGCGCTCTGACGTGTGTTTTGCTGACTGTGGGGGCTGAATGGACGGATGGAGCGGAGAGCGTAACCCCCTACCGATGGAAGCCAGACATCCCCCACAGTCCATCCAATAAGCACTCTCGCGAGCCGTGATTGGCTGCAGCCACCGTGCGCAGCACCTACTAGAATATGCTAAGACCTCTTTGATTAAAGTGCCAGCCCCTTTCCCCTTAGAATGATGCATTCTGATCTTCAGCATCTCTCTAAGCAGCCTATTGCTGATTAATATTTATAATGTAATAGAAGTCATGAAATATAAAGAGTGTGAAGGAAATAGGAACTCATGTGAGAGCTTTATTTCAACTATTAGATTCATCTAGTTAAATGTCACCCTTTTAAAAGAGTATGGCTCAAATGATTTAATAATATGGTTCAGAGTGATTTCTTGTAAAATAGTTGTAATAGAAATATCAACCATTTAAATTATAATATATATAATACAATTATTAAAATGTGTAATTTAATATTAAATATATATTATAGTAGCATATTCTGTCTTATATTCACCCTCATAAATTGGTGTTTGCAGCCCCATTGTTCCTGTCAAAGATTAAATGAAAGTTTAAATCTCAGTGATGTGCGGCTCAGCACAGAATACAGCTTGTCTTCACCTGTGAAGAGCATTTTCGTTTTAAGTCCCGGCTACTACCATACACATAGCCCTACATGTCATGTTTAATGCATGTAGCACAGAGCTCGGCTCTAGACATCTTTTCTGCTCTCAGTGAATTACATTGCTAAGCCTTTTGTTCCTCAGCCGGGGAACACATCAAGGAACTGAACACATTTCTGTAACAGCACATAAATCTGATGAGATTGCTTGCAGCAGGGTCTGAATTGCCACAATGCAAGACAATCTTATAACACAGATTCAGACTTTACCTATCTATCTATCTATCTATCTATCTGTCTATCTGTCTGTCTGTCTGTCTGTCTGTCTATGTCTATCGTAGTGATAATGCATTAACTGATTGAAAAGATTGTTAAATAGAGTATCTGGCAAGTGTCTTGACATTGCAGATTCTGAAGAGGCCCCTCTGCTTTGGACAATCATTTTTCTCTGCATCTGCTGGCCACCAGGGATGTTGCCCTGGAAACGGTGTTCACAGGATGGTCGAGGACAGCCAGAGAGAAGGTGAGATTTAAGAGAAACTGGTAGAATGAAAGTTTCTTTTCATGATATTTCTGATCTGGATCTGCCTTGATCTGAGCTGTGCCCCTGCTGAAAAAAAGCTTAAACCAGATTTAAGCTGGTCTAGAAGCTCCCACCCTGGTCAAGATGGTGCTCAGCTGGTTTAGATGGCTGGTCAGATTGTTTCCCAGTGTCTGACCAACTGTCAGAATCAGCTTGGGACCAGCAACAGTAAGACCTGCAAACTGACAAACTTTTTTCACCTGAAGGAAAAAGAAACATATTCTTAATGAAAATTGATTCAAGTTGCTACTGTATGAACGAGTAACTGCTGTCAATCCTCTTTTATATTTTTGCGCTTGCCGTGAACACCTTGAATTATAAAGTAAATACACGCAGCTCGTATCTCCAAGTTGTCCAGTACAGTTCCATTCACACAGCGGAGGTTCACCGAAAATGTGGCTGTGAGTCCTTAAAATTTACGAGTGTGAGCTTTGCTGCTGTATCAATGTTGCCTTTAATAATACTGATTTTAATGGATAACTGATTTCACACCTGGAAGGAGTCACGATAACGTTCTGTATATATAATATAATATGATATAATCATGCACTACAGTTATGTTGTCTGCCGCTTTAAATGCTATAGCTCGTTAAAAACGGGTGGGTTCTGATTTGCCAATGTTGTTATCCTTTAGATAGAAAAAAAATAGTTCTTAATGTGATTTCAACTATATCATTCCTCTGTGACGTTATCGTTATACCTGGGGTGTGACCTTCCTATTCTCATAGAATTAGAATTATTGGTAACACTTTACAATAAGGTTCATTAGTTAACATTAGTTAACTACTTTAGTTAACATGAACTAAGCATGAACAATACTTCTACAGCATTTATTAATCTTAGTTCATGTTAATTTCAACATTTACTAATGCATTATTAAAATCAAAAGTTGTGCTTGCTAACATTAGTTAATGCACTGTGAATTAACATGAACTAACAATGAACAACTGTATTTGCATTAACTAACATTAACAAAGATGAATAAATACTGTAATAAATGTATTGTTCATTGTTCATGTTAGTTAACACATTAACATTAACTAATGGAACCTTACAATAAAGTGTTACAGATATTTTTAATATATATATTTTTTAATATATATAAAAAATAAAAAATGTATAAAAAATATATAGACTAAAATAAAAATGACTAAAACTTAATCTCAAATTACAATAAAAACAAAAAATCTTAAAATAAAAAATAATTCAAAATATTAGCAAAACACTGTAATGGTATCTCAATGATAGTGAAATGACACTGCTAGTAAATGAAGCGGTGACTTACGCCATGATGCCGGACAAATGAAACACCTCCGCTGACAGGTAAGCCATGTAGCTGTAGACGAAGACGAACAGAGGCTCGATGACGCGCGTGTGCGAGGTGAAGCGGGACGTGAAGGCTGCCAGGATGCCGTAGATGGCACCCACCACGATACCGCCCAACGACACCACCAGAAAACACACGATACCCAGAAACACATCCATGACAGTGATCGAGCCCACACTGCTGTACTCCTCAAAGAGATGATACAGCACCTACAGACAGAACACCAGGAAGTGTGCATCAGAAATGAACAGCATCCACAGCATTAGAGCCACAGGCAGCTTAACAAAACATACAGGCCTGGTTTCACAGACACGGCTTAGTTTAGGCCAGGATTGTCCATAGTTCAATTAGGACATTTCAGCATCTTTTAGAAATGTGCCTCAGAAAAGAAAAAAAGCATTACTGGTGTGCATCTTGAGACAAATTAATGGCACTGACATATTTTAAGATCAGTCAGTGCAAGCTGCTTTCAGTTAAAAGAGCTCAGACATGCATTTTAGTCTGGGACTAGGCTATTAAGCCTTGTCTTTGAAACCGGGCATAGTGTTAACAAGTGAACAACTGTATTCTCATTAACTAACATTAACAAAGATTAATAAATACTGTAATAAATGTATTGTTCATTGTTTGCTCATGTTAGTTAATACATTAACTAACTTATTGTAAAGTGTTACCGAATTATTCAATCTTTATAGTTACAATTATTGTCCTTGGTGTGAATGGCCCTTATTATTATACTTTCGCTGCTGTTTATTGTAAAAGAGATTAAAAACTTACACTATCATATTTTTTTCAAGACATTCATTAGCGAAACAGAAACTGTTGCACTAATGTTTAAAGCTGATACTTGTTATGAAAATCATAATGAATCTATCTTATAATGATATACAGATGCCTGTTATTCTCAAAAGCTGTGCTGTTTGTGTAATTGTTCAGTCTCTCGACGGTTTCATGCAGTGTAGTGGTTGCACATTTCGCTAAAGGCTTGCTAGCCTCATTAACACATTGCAAGCACAACAAATTGCATTTCCCATTTTTTCACCACACATGGCGTGAAATAACAATGGCAAAACAATGCTTTATGTAATCATGGTAATGAGATTCTCATCTTTCACAAAGTAATTTCGACAGAACTGACAAGCTATGTGATTTTATGAATGTTAATAAGTCACACATTCATGAAAGAGACACTTCTGTGACTTTCTCCACGACTGAGGAAAAAGAGATCCGTGAATGTGCGTGGAAATGTGTGACCTCTCTGTCTCTCACAACAGCCAAAGAAGACGAGACGAGCCGGACCGCCACGGTGTCTCGGACAGATCTCCATTCTGTGGGGACACCTGCCGGGAGTCTTGGCTTAGAGGAAGTGGAGCGGAGCTGAGAGACAGCCGTAAAGGTTGGCACGGAGAGGCAGGCAGGCAGGTGCTGGATCCGGCAGGCTGGCTGCTGTCGCCCTCCCCTCTCTTTCCTCCCCCATTAAAATGGCCAAGAGCACCTGACAGGTGGGAAGAGGGGAGGAAGCCATGGCTTTGGACCAGGGACAGGGCTCACGCTGCTGTCCAAACAGGAGACTTGCTGGGTAGAGTGATCTGAGAGGATTTGAGGTAGAAGGGGGCTGGTGGACAGTGGGAGTTGGCGGTCTATTTGTGCCCGCATGAGCAGCACAGCTCTGGTCCAGTCAAACCAGATAACAAGCATCCATCTCCCCATGCTGTGGTCAGATATGGGCACAAGGACATGTGTTATGATTACTGCTATCTACCTGGGCAGCTGTAAGTTTTGCTCTGGAAGTGCTTTTGCCATCCAAATACTAAATTACAGACTTACAGTAAAGTGGAACAAGGTGACCCGAGGTGAAGATATCTTCCAGACAAAAGGAAACAGCAATCATCGAGTCATTTTCTTAAATAACAGGGTGTCTTAAAAAGTACTTTCTTATCTGTCCAGTTTAAGAGACAGAGAGGTCTCATTCTATGTGACACTCAAATCAAGAGTTTGTTCTGCGTGGATGACCTGGTTCTGCTGTCCCTCACAGAAGGAAGGCAGCAGAGCCAGTCTCTGCAAGAGCAGTAGAGTGGACATCGACAGTCAATCTGGACAAAACCTGTCCAGTTCTCCAAAAGAGAGCCAGTTCTTGAAGCAACAGATGCAAGTTTATCTCTGAGGACAAATAGTACTAGACACAAAACCTCCAATAATGATAACAAATACTATTACAAACAACCCTTAACACATAAACAGAGTTAGACTTCAGCTAAACAATAAATTAAACATTCAAGTAAACATGCACATGCAAGACTAGTAATGAATGAGAACAACCCCTAAACCATTAAAACAACAGGGTTCTCATCAATGGTAACTTTTTTTTAAAGGCTGGTGAAATAACAGTATATCTATATCTATAACAAGCACATTAATGGAAAATATGTTCCCTCAATATAACAAAAAATTTCAAATTAAAATCTAAAATGCACACTAAAAACAACAATAAACAATTAACATTGAGCTACAGATTTAGTGCGTTATGGGTAATCAACTGCCTCCAAGTCTATATACCAAAAAATTCTGGATAAAATAATTTTATTTGTTCCTAAAATGAAAATTAAATCAAACCAAACCAAACCAAACCAAACCATTCAACAGAATCAAACCAGTGTCAATATGGTGTCAAATTCATATTTTCAAAATTGGAGAAAATATTTCCAAAACATGCTCCAACATTGAGGTCACATTGAAATTGTTCAAATAATTTCAGCAGGGTAGAAGTAAGACGAAACCTCTGCGAATTGAAAAAATGAAATAGACCTGTACAATCATTGTCATCACCTCAATCAAACTAATCTAAATTTCATTAAATATAAAGCCCTCATTTGTCAATCAAATCTCCACAGTCACATTCCCTAAACACACTAGTAATTCAATATAATGACAAAAATCAACCAAACATCACTCATACTGACCTCAATTACTGGAGTTATGTATAAAACTCAGAATGAAATCTCAAAACCAGACTTACATTATCTGGCATAATGAGCATCTGTACTGTACAGCTCTCAAGAATACTCGATTCTGATTGGTCAGGTAGTTTTAGATAAATACAATAACCTGTGTATTTGATGGTCATCCCTGGCAACCAATTTCCAACACTAGTTTAATGTCTTTGCCTGCTTTCCTAATACAATAACATTTTAAACTCAAATGATAATCTGAAAAGTCCTTACACAACACTCAGTGACAAGTTGTTAAACTCATAAATTGCTCTGTTGCTTGTACAATTATGCAATAATTGACAATGTGGCAACAATTAAGCAATGTGAGAGACCTTTGATTCATGTCTGGGCTAGATTGTGTCTTTTTACCGATACATGCTGTGAGCCAGTATAGGTTGTACATCGATAGGACCACTGATAGGACCAGTTATGGTGCATGAGCGAGTCTGCTGTGTGTAGGTGCAAGCATCTCTGCTGAGGGTGTGTGTGTGTGTGTGTGTGTGTGTGTAGCTGTGTGGGAGGGGAGGTGATTCTGCCATCTGGTCGAGGCCAGCAGCAAAAATATCTAAATTCACTGGTTCCTTGCTTCCAAAAGACCACCCATATTTATTTATAAAACAATATTTAAATAAAAAGAAAATAACTTAAGTAGGTGAGAACTAAATAGACAAAACAGCAGAACAAAGTCAGCTACTAGAAAAGCAGTATTTAAGTTGTCTTTCTCTGTGTCCACTGTACCTCAAAGAAAACTGCTTTCACAACCCATTTACTTTCATAAAGTCAAGCATTTCAGAGTAAAACATGATATTCAATGAAGGGGAAAAAATGTATAGAATAGGATTTGATTTGAAACCCATAATACCCAAGTAGTGTATTATCTCAATGAAAACAGAAAAGACATATATTTATTTTTTCCCCACACACGTTTTAGTTTAAGTAATTTTACTTCTGTGTAAACTTGCTCATTTTAGTTAGGAACCAAGGCAACATTTCTAATTGGCATTTAAGTTGTACATCTAATATTTACATTTTATTTTAGCTTTATATGAATTTTTTATTTTTTATAAATAATTTTGTTGCATTGTTAGATATAGTTTATATCTGAGGACAAATCATCGAGTAATGAGATAGATTGACCTTTCTTCCTTTCTTAACCTTTCACCATCAGGTCATGCACGACGTGTAGGATGATGTTGGATTAAGGAAGGTCTGTGACTGATTCTATAAAGAGAGCAAAGGTTTTGTAATTTTTACATCTCCATACTTCACTGTAAACACAGCCTCAAGGTGAAATTAAAGGACCTTTGATTTGATTTATGACAGCAAAAAAAAAAAAAAAGACAGAGATAGAGAGAGAGGATTTTTTTATTATTATCTTATTTCTTTATCTATTTTATCTAATATTTAATTTTTAGCATCGTGTTTGAAACTGGCACTACCATGATGCCCTTTATCTGGACCCTCATTACCTGCAAGCCTTGTCTCCGCAATTAAGAGAATTATGTGGCAGTTAAGAGATAAGGATGACATTTATATTAGATAATTATTCCTACAAGTTTTTATCTAACGGTTAAGTTAAATCAGCCTGTTACTTTTGATAATCCTGAATGAACAACCTTATTTCCATGTATAAATGCTAATTAATGCACCCCAAGATACCATTCATACATAATCAGTAATCACTGATAATTATAGTCATCACAACTAGGTTAGATGGGAAAAGAAGAAAGAATCACTAAAGTTGCACTTTAGTATTTTTTTTATTTATTTATGTTGCACTGGCCAATATAGCAGTTATCTTGAACTTTTACTGACACCTCACAGATATAAGCAAGTAGTATTTGGCTGGTCATGTGATCTCAAAATGGTATTTTCCTGCTCCATGTAAAATTAAATTAAGCTTTCACATGGATATGATTTAAGTCACTATTTCATATAAAAGTGATATTTAGCTTTTTACACACATTGTAACATCTAACACCACTTGTTTTAATTAGAATGGCTTTTTAATTCCTGCACTCTAAAAAAATGCTGGGTTGTTTCAACCCAATGTTGGGTCAAATATGGACTAACCCAACTGTTGGGTTAAAAAGCTAATTAAAAAATGTAACCAAAATTTAACCCAACAGTTGGGTTAGTCCATATTTGACCCAACATTGGGTTCAAACAACCCAGCATTTTTTAGAGTGTGCGACAGTAGAAACACAAACACAAACTAGCATTTAGCAGACGTATATAGCTCAATCATAACACACATACACAATACGATATTACAGTGAAACCCTACAACCAACTATGAATATCTCTTTAAACCTATTTCACACACTTTTACAGTTCTAGAGAGTAGTCAGAACAAACCCACTCTTAGTTGACCCCAGCTGCAAAACATGCTGTGTGACCACCAGTGCCACTGTTTTTAAGATGCTTAAACTCTTTAATAAAAAAAAAAATACTATGTGCATTGTTAAATTTGTTATATTTGTACATTATTGCTATTATATCAGGTATCAACAACATGTAAACTCTCAGGATGAATGCATCTCTCAGCTCTTAAATGGCTAAATTGGAATTAGCCGATAGGTGCGTAGGGAGATGCTCACAAAAACTGGAAACACATCGCAGATAAGCGGAGTCAGGATTGGCCAGGAGTCTTGTTTGTGGAGGAGTGTGTTTGCTGTGAGCGGACCTCATGGAGAGCTGACCTCCTCACCCTGAGCCCACCAACACAGAGCACAACCACCCACTCATTCATATCCCTCTCTCACAATCACACACACACCCACATACTTTACTTCATTACACTATCATGTCACTCCTCCAGTCCAAAGAGTCCATCTTTACTACTGTAAACGATCGGTTTCTCACCCACTGCTATACGGGACACCCCTGCCCTATACAGGGCCCCCACACAGCATTAGAAACCATGCAATTATATTATCAATAATTTATATATAAATTGTTTTAAAGAATATTGCAATAACGAAACTAAAGATGAAGTCTACTACTACAGGTCTCACTTGACTTTTAAATGTTTGAATTATTAGTACCACTTTACTTGAAGCCTTGTATGATGCATTATGTTTTCATAAATAATTAAAATGCATTATAATATATGCAGATTCCTTGTTACATGTGAAATTGATTGCTCGTCATGTGTTTTAATGCATTATTCTTTCTAAAAGGTGTAACAATGAAGGAATAAGTATTATAATGTATTATAACGATGATTACAATTATTCACGATATCATACAATTACAAGGTATTTTTACTGATTTCCACTCAGGTCATCACCCTCAATACTTCAAAACCCCTATCGACCCAGGAGATGTGAAGGTGTGTGGGGTTGTCTAACCAGGTGTAGGAGTATTAGAATGAGGGCTTGTTGTACTGAGACTCTGTTCTGAGCTTCACATTGGGAAAAGGAGGCATACAGTCTATAATGAACACACTTTTGTCAAGAGGAGGAGGAGGAGGAGAAATCTCTCTTCTGGCTTAATAAAAGAGCAAGGATGTCGTTAGGATAACAATAATGATGCTGTCCCTTTCTGCCAATGACATTTGTGGCATTTAAAGAAAGAGATGTGGAAGAGAGAGAGTGAAAGGAGAAAAAAAAAGGAAAACAACAGAAATGTCGCTTCTCTCTGAGCTTCTATCGGTTTATAGAAGGGGTGGATCATTATAAAAATGTAACTGGCTTTTTTTCTTACACAGGGCAATTAAAAAGCTTTCTCTGTCATATATTTATGATAATTAATTTATTTTTGTCCAGAGCTGAGTGCTAGGCACAGGGAGCAGTTGTGCAGATGAAAGGTATTGTACGTGGAAAATTGGGTTTTGTGAAAGTGGGTCTATCTGACAAGCCATATCCACAGCAATTACCGAGGAACATTTTCAAACCTTTCAGAGGAGCTTAGAAAGTGGTGCAATATAAAAATCCCAAAAGCTGAGTTCTGATCAACGTTTGGGGCTTGTCTGTATGTTTCTGTTTTTGATGGAACCAAACACTTCCAGTAGAGTATGTTACATATTTCATGTAACAAGTAAAGTAGCGTTACTTGTTAAATGTACACCATAATATAGTAATTTTTTTT